CCCCCCCCCCCCCCCCCATCCTGGCATGCATGGGTCCCCCCTCAAATCTGAAATGGCATCCCTGAAAAATATGCATCCTTGGAACTCTGGGAAGTAGAACTCAGGTTCCTGACATTCAATTTGCCTCATCCCATAAATGTCCCATCATTTTTATACTTTTAAAAAAATATCTTGCAAACCCACCCAACAGATTTTGACACTAGCCATCTTGAACAGAAGCTGCAGAGCTACAATTACAGGATGCATAGCCTCCAGTACGTGCTGCCCTGCAGTTAGAAGTGCAGCAGCAGGAGACATGAGGATTTCTTCGAGGCCAGTTTGCTAAGGAACATAGCAGAAACCAGTTCCAGGTTGTCGCTAGCATTCATGAAACAGCTGCAGATGTTGAAGCGCTGCTTCTGGGCTTTAGAAATGAGCACTGAGTGGTGGGAATGCCTTGTAAGGAAGGTTTGGGACAATGAGCAGTGGCTGCAGACATTAAAGGTCATTTTCCTGGATCTGTGCCAAGCTTGCCTGGCCACTCTAGCACAGGGACACCAGAATGAAAGCTGTATGGATAGTGGAGAAACAAGTGGCAATCACAGTCCAGAATCTTGCAGTGTCAGATCTCTGCCAGTCAGAGGGAAATCATTTCCATTTTGAAGCTGGAAAATCCACAATGGCAGTCATTGTCATCATGGGCGGTAGGTTTGTATAATTTTTGGTGGTGCCCCATTAGCCACGCCCCCTGGCCCCTGTTAGCCACTCCCCCTGCCCTCCCCTCTGTTAGCCACGCCTCTGGAGGTAACACGCTCGGGGCAAGATGGACACATGACCAGAAGTAAACGGTGTCATGTCACCCCTCTCGAAGGGCTTTTCCCACCATCCTCCCCACCAAAACCCCCTTATGCAACTGTCCCGTTCAGAAAGCTGTAAGTAGTACTCTAAGCGAACGGTATTTGTAAATGTACAGCAAGCAGCATGTAATCCAGAGAGAGTCAGGAAACATGCAGTCTTAGTTATAAATGCATAATCCACTTGTGGTCATTCTTTCCTGCCTGCTGGATTACCACAGGCAATAGTGAAATGCCTATAGTGATTCTGGGGAACCTACCCTGCCCCTTGCTCCTCTGGCTCATGAAACTCTGCACCAGTCACTGGAGAGTACAAAAGAAAGATTCAGCTCCCTGCTTAGCAAGTGCAGAATGACAGTTGAATGTTTTTGGTAGCCCAGAGGGATGCTTGCCTCTCACTTAGACTAAAGCTCAGCAAGAACAATATCCCAATCGTTATCGCTGCTTGTTGTGTCTTACATGGTATCTGTGAGGCAAGTTGCTGCCAGGATGAAGGGTGAGCAGCTGCCTGCTGCCTTTGAACAGCCAGACACAAAGGCCATTATAACAACAAAACATAGAGATATGTGGTTGAGGGAGGCATTAAAAGAACATTTTAGCAACAGTAGCGTTCTCCATTGGAGCAT